CTAATTCTCAATAAATATTTCAACTTCTGAATAAATAAATGTCAGCAAGGAAGCCATTTTTTAGATATTTTATGGCACAAAAAATGTATAAAAACGGCGTTCGCCTATTCAAAATTATCAGTGAAACTTCTGAGTTGAACAAAATATAATCAAAAAAAAAACCTAAAAAATGAAATTCATTACTTTTGGATTCTTGCTTGCCATGTTCTTGGCTCTCTTCGCCGGTAGGTGGATATTTTATCTTTGTCAGTAAGTGGACTTAAGAAGTCTCTTTATTCCGAATATTTTTCAGATACTCTGGCTAGTCCTAATATGGACCTGGAAACAGAAATAGGACCACGCAGGCATCTTCTATCAGCTAAAATAGACGATTTATCTATAGAATACGTTCCTGAATTTTAGACAGCAATTGAAATATATAAGAGGGAGAATTACAAACCTAATTTTTGAACATACTTCTAGTTCTTTTTGAATAAGATTACTTTTAGAAATTATGTTTTTTCTATCTTAAATAAAAGTTTACTGAGCGAAAAGCAAAGAAAAATTCATTTTATAATATCTGACAAATTAAGAATTTTGAGGTATTGTTGGAAAAGTACTATAGGGACAACACAAAGTATTATTGTATACAAGATCTGATTATAGAAAACATCCAATGGTCGCAGTGCTCTGCATTGATGTGAGCATAAGTGCCTCTCTAATGCACTTTTACACCTACATTTTTTTTTTTTTTTTTTTTATTATTTGAAACACAATATGTACAATAATATAAATTCATGTTTCATTTGACTACGACTAGTTCATACAAGAACTATCAAGCAGTTTTGTTACATTTCAGTATACTTATTAAAATTGTGAAGTTGTCAAAGACTTAGTGTTAATAGTAGTAATCTAAATTATTATTAGACTACTAATTCGGGAGTAGATCTGAAGGCTTTGTTCGTTTAAGTCTTCTCAGCAGGCCAGATGTATTAGACAGATGGTTGACTGTCTCGTTTGGATGCTGTTGTAATCGTTTTTGGTGCTTTATCGCGAACTTCTGGATTACTGCAGCCACAGATTCGATCTTCAAGTCCCGATGGAGGTCAGTATTCCTAATAAACCACGGAGCGTTGACTAAGTTTCTTAAAACTTTGTTTTGAAAGTTTTGAATGATTTGAATAGTGGATTTTGGTGCACAACCCCATAACTGGATTCCATACGTCCACACCGGAGCTAAGACTTGCTTGTATATCATTAATTTATTGTTTAGAGAGACGGGTGATTTGTTCCCAAGAAGCCAATATAAATTTTTGTATTTGGATTCTAATTCAACTCGTTTTTTCTTTATATGTTCTTTCCATTTCAACTTAGCATCTAAGTTCATGCCAAGGTATTTAGCTGTGTTTGAGTATGGTATTTGAGCACTGCACATATTTATCGGCAAATATTCAATTTTTTTGTTTGTGAAGTTTACATGGACGGATTTCGTTTGGTTGAGCTCAATTTTCCATTTTTTAGTCCAACTAATAATTTGATCAATGGAACGCTGCGTTGCTTCTGTTGATTCGTTTATTGTGTTTCCAGTGGTAAGGATCGCTGTATCATCTGCAAACGTGGCAATAACACTTTCTGGTGAGACTTGCAGGTTGGCTGTGTAAATTAGGTACAGAATTGGGCCAAGTATACTTCCCTGCGGTACTCCGGCTTCAATTGGTTCAAGTGTTGAGTACGCACCTTTATATTTTACTCTGAAGAATCGGCAAGATAAGTAGGACCACATAATTTCGGATATTTGTCTCGAAAACCACTGTTCAATCTTATGCACAAGTCCTTTGTGCCAAACTTTATCAAATGCTTTCGATACGTCTAGGAAAACTGCAGTGCAAATTTTTTGTTCTTCAAGTGCTCTTTCGATTTTGTCGCATATTCTGTGTATTTGTTCTACAGTGGAATGCTTTTTTCGGAACCCAAACTGATGACTCGGAACTATTTGATTTTCTGTGAGAACAATCTGTATTCTATTAAGGAGAATTCGTTCAAAGATTTTTGATAAAATGGGTAGTAAAGAAATTGGACGATACGACGAAACTTCATTAGCAGGTTTTCCTTGTTTGTGTACCATAAGTACTTCCGCCACTTTCCAATAAATTGGGAAGTGTCTTAAGCGAAGAGCTGCATTAATTATTTTGCATAGTTTGATTATTCCTTTATTAGGGAATTGGTTTAAGATCTCAGCGGTTATCTGATCCCAACCAGGAGCCTTTTTTAGTTTCATATTTCTTATTTCATTTTTTATTTCTCTTAGCGAAGTTGGTTGTATTGCTTGGTTGAATGGATTTAAATTAGACGTAGGAAGATTATTTCCATCATCATTTAGTGTAAATGTTGCTTTAAGAAATTTTGCGAATAAATCTGCTTTTTCTTCGTCACTTTTGGCCCATGATGTGCCATCTGCTTTAATAGGAGGATTATGTTTTATAGGATGTTTTACTGCTTTCACGGCTTTCCACAGCGAGTAATCTGTGCGTTTCTCATAAGAAAGGCTTCTAAGATTCTGTTGTATCTTATCATTTTTAACATTATTGATAAGTTTTCGTAGTTGTGCAGTTTTCCTATTTAATTCCGTTTTGTCAGTTGGTGATCGTGTTTGTTGCCATTTTTTACGCAATTTCCTTTTTTCCCATATTAGTTTATTTATTTCTTTTGGAAGAGTTGGTCTAACCTGGTGTTTAGAGAACTGTGAAGTGCTCATCCATGCTGATTTTTGAATCTGCTGTGTAAATAGAAGAACTTCGTTATCCACTTCAGTCGCTGAGTTTAGATCAGAGTTAAGATTAAGACTGTTTTCAAGATGCAGCCTAAAGTAATCCCAGTCAGTAGATCTATTTATTAGGTAAGGCTTCGGTTCATTTATGACTACACTTTTATTAATAGAGAGGTGCACAGGTGAATGATCAGAAGAGATATCGTATCCATTTTCTATTTGTAAGAGTTCTTTTGGTATTTTTTTAGTTATAAAAAAGTCAATCAGATCCGGTATTTTCGCTGGGTCAGTTGGCCAATATGTTGGGCTTCCAGTTGATAAGACATCACATCCTGTGGCTTGTATGGCTTTTAATAGTTCTCGGCCCTTAGTTGTAGTTAATCGCGAACCCCAATGGACATGTTTAGCGTTGAAATCGCCACCAATAATGAATTTATTTTTAAATTTAGAAAGAAAGTTTATATATTGATCTGTACTAATAGAATGTCTTGGAGGACTGTAGACCGAAATAATTGATAATTTTTGATTTTGTACTTTTATTGTAACAGTTGTGGCTTGAAACTCGCTACAGCTGATATTTTCCTCTTCATAGTGACTGATGGTTTCCTTTATTATAATAGCACTTCCCCCTCGTGCATTGTTATTCGGGTGAGTAGTGTGGTAAGTTTCATAACCTCTAAATTTTATATGTGATTCCCTCGTAAAGTGCGTTTCTGCTATTAGACATATATCGATGGACTTTTTGTAAAGAATAGTCTGTAGTTCGTTTTGTTGATGTAGCAGCCCATTTGCGTTCCAGAGCATAACTTTTATTGAAGACTGCATTACATACGGTGTTTGTTAATACTCACCTACAGTGAGTTAGATTTATCTATCTATCTATTGTCGAAGTTGGAAAGCTTTTCAGAGATAAAGCAGAAACTATACTATGCTCATTCACCAATCATTTAAATACGATAAAACTATTGTATTATATTTTTGACTCAACACTACATATGTTTTTGATATGATTATATTTATCAACATACGGATATTATAAAGACAGTTTCTTTATTTGATAAATAGCTTTGCGTTTAAAAATCATTAATATTATTTTAAATTACTTTATAACTTGCATATCAATCTACGTGTTAATCCAATTAATCACTTTCAAAATACGAAACTCAATTACGAACTTTCGATTATTGACTATAAAAAGACTGTTCGGACCATTAAAATGATTAGTTAAAGTCATAAGTTTATATGAAAGTAACAAAAACAAAGTTTTATAATGAAATTATTTACATTCGGATTTTTGCTTGCCATGATCTTGGCTTTCTTTGCCAGTAAGTGAATTTATATTAATGATCAGATTTGGATATTCTATAAATCTTTATTACATATCAGATACCATGGCTAATCCGCAAGATTATCTTGCTCCAGAGGATCCACGTCATCATCCCTCATCCGCTGAATTGCGCAATCTCGCACCAGAAGTGGCTCCAATTCCAATGCCTTATTAGAATCGAATGTTTGAAAGAAGCTAAATTGTCATCACTTAGAGTCTATATAATATAATATAGTGTATATGATATTTTAAAGAAATGTCTAGCATTTACTTCTTTCAATAAATTTTCTGAATACTTAAAACTTATGAAAATCGGTAGAGTTTTTGTTTTATACTATGTTAGAAGTTACACAGAAGGAGAAACATGTACAGTTTTAAATGCAATAGTGTAAAAGTATATATCTATATATGTATATATGGTATATATCTATTGATTTTTGGAAACGGTAAAGTCGTGCTTATATATTAAGTCGTTGATTCTTAAACATATTTATGTTGCAGTTGCAAGTACCGATGATCTTCATAGATATTATTACGATATTATGATTTCCATTTTAGTTGGTGTATATTTTTCCCAATTTGTAAAAATATTTACCTCAATCTTTCATTAAAAACACTTTGAAGATTAGACAGTTAACATCAATAATAAACGTTTAAGCAAAGACGCTTAACTGCATTTACTTTGTTTATAGTTTTAAAATTTCATTTTTATTTTAATGATTAATGTTATTATTATTATTGGAAAAATTTGAATACCTTAAAGTACATTTTTTAATTTAATAAATGACTTTTACTTTGTAATCAATTTATCTTGCTTATAATTGCATTACAATTTGCATAACCCCTATTAATTACGTACTTGTGATTAATAATATTTTTCAATAAAATCAAACGTAATTTCATACTAACAATCAATGATTATAAAAAGATAGTATTCGAACCATTAAAACTATCAGTCAAACTGATACCTTTAGAGGAAAACAGTAAAAGTGAAACTTTAAAATGAAATTTTTCGTATTCGGATTTTTACTTGCTATGCTCATGGCACTTCTTGGCAGTAAGTCATCATATAGCATAACAGAATTAATGAGATCAATTAAAACATATACTAATATACATCAACTTATTTTAGATACTCTTGGCAGTCTTAAAGAGGATCCAGAACATCCTTCATTCGCTGAATTGCGAAGCTTTGTACCACCACCGGAGCCAGCTCCATATCCTTTTTAAAATCTTTATTTTATTGAATTTTAAAAGAAGTTAAGTTTAAACATTTGAACTCACATTATATGGGCTTGAACATTTATTTTGTAAACCAATATGCTAAACCAATAAATAAAAGCTGCTCCTTTCATGTCTTTTGAAAGATGTCTAAAATATTGAATGGTTTTTGTTGAATACTGTATAAGTAATTGAAAAGAAAAATAAACAATAATATATATATATATATATA